ACGACTAGTTTGCTACACAATGAATTTTCTAATTTTGTAGATCATGGCACAGTTTCCTAAATGAAATTCTTTGATGCTGAGGTTATTGAGCCAAGTTTCATGTAGTTGTTACTTGCTGATTGCTTTGTGAAATGATTCGAACAGCGCTAGACCGTCCATTGTGTATGTTTTTCATTTGCATATCCGCTATGCCTACTTAAATATCCGCTATGCAAGAACATCTCTTTCATGCCTTGAATTCAAGCAAAAAGTGCACTTTATGAAATAACCATGCACTCTTCAAAAGTTATGCTTTATGCAACTCTGAAAGTCCTAATGTGAGACGGTAAATCTCGGGTACTTATGTTATCTGCCAAAGCTGCAGGGAACGAAACAAACCTTTCTTTCACTTTAGCACGCTTCATGCACTCTGTGCCATTGCAGATCTACTTGTACATCCTCATGTTATTTTGTTCCTTTCTTTTTCTTTTTTGTCTGTTCTCACTAAGAAATGACCCACTTGGTCATATTTTTGTTCTCAAGAACAATGTGTAGTCCTTCGTTGGTCACTACCTTTCGGTTGTCCCCGTAGCTTGAGATAAAATAGTGCTATTTGCTATCTCGATTATGTGTAGTCCTTTGTTGGCCACTATCTTTCTGGTTTTCCCCGTAGCTTGAAATAAAATAGTGCTATTTACTATCTCGATTCACGCTGGCTGAAGTTGTAGCCTGGGCTGAGAATATGTGTGCAGCTGTTTGGGGATCACCAACCTGTAAATAAAGCCAAGAGTGATAGTCCACATTGTATTCTTGCACAGATTAACATCCTGCATCTATCGAATTTGCACCCCTCATAAAAAAACTGCATTGGGCTGCAAAACTTCTACGCGCAACATACCTTGATGCCATTTCTGTCAACACATGACAAAAAACATTGGAAATACCATATATGTACACTGCTTATCATGGAACTGGGTGTTCACCTACCATCCAGTATGCTATTGTTTCGTAGTGCATGATTGTGGTACTCCAACTTGACGTAGTTGGGTCCTGTCGATAGCCGCACGAAACATGGTTCTGACTTGGAGCGTGTGTGTAGTTTTAACCTTGAGCTTGAACATGCTCCAGCAGCTCACAATCGAACTCTAGCCTGCCACGGCTTGCTATAATACCAAGTTTTAAGGTGGGCGGGCTCATTTTTTCAAGAAAGCAGCTCACAGAAAACAAGGACAAAAATGTGAGAAGATGCACAGCACTGCGCACAACTGATGGTTTATTGAAAGAAATATGAACTTCCATGCACAAATTACTAATGTTAAATGAAGTCAACTTCAGAAATTCGTCTTTACATCAATACCTTGATACAATTGGAGTATTTTGTTTTATTTTATACTTATTTATTTATCTTATTTTAGCCAACATGCTAAAGCTGGTCCTGCACAAATAATTAGCTCTTGCTAACAAATTTATTATTTTATGCATTTTTTAAAAATCTGACTAACACTTAGCATATTGCGACGTTGGTTTGCCACTGCTACTTCACGGAAGCAGTCTCAGTGGCAACACAATAAGGTTTGCTGGGTCTATTATGCTGGCTTGGGCTCAATAGCTGCATGGCCTTGTAGTTCTCTTTCATTCCGCACAGGCTTCAAAGGCAGCTGAAAAGGAAGTACTTAGGCTTCGGCGTCAGTGTGGCAATATTATTTTGACGCCGACATGGCTTTTCTTTCACCCTTTCCACTGTTGTAACAAGCTTCTTTAAGTTAGATTTAAGAGCACCGATGTAATATTTTAAAACCAGATGACTCGTGGCATAGATTTGTGTGAATATGCTCAAATCTACAAAATATCAAGGGCAAATGTAGCCTAGAACTTAAATAAAATCACTGTTAAAGTGTATGCCGCGCTTCCAAGGGCTAAATAGAGTGCCTCGGGACATCGATGCCAACTTGGATGTAACGTAAACAATGAGCTGCCATCCACATCGCAAGTTTGGGTTTGTTGCCGTACTTCCGCGTGTGGTTTGTGTCGCAGTTGTCACCGCTCTGCTCAAACACACCCGTTGTCCACAGGCAGCACGCGCATCACTTTTTTGTGTTGTCACGTGGACCGACTGTGTTTGCCATAAAACCTACCTAGTCCTGTGGTTCTCGGTGCTCTCTGAACAGTGATGGTGCTTTGTGAAAACGTCCTCACTTGATTATCTACCCAATGAGGTTTTTCCTCCTATTACTGTTAGGATGTAGTAGGTCTCGTTGAACTCGAGGAATCATGACCCCTTTTGTAGTTCGGTGATGTAACAGCTGTGTGCAGTTATCACCTGTAATGAAAATACGAAGGGCTATTCATCACGCTTGTTGCGCATATTGTGAGAAGAGGAAATGAGTGCAGGAACATCACGTTGAAAGAGACAAACGACATTCATTACTAAACACAGAAAGAAAGCTAAATTAAAGGTATATGGAACACAAGAGACTAAGCAACATGAGAGAAATAACCAATATGAGTTCTTTTGGGAAATTCAAAGGCCTCACAGTGCGATGGTCGGCACGGTGGACACTGATTTGCAGGGCTGGAGGCAGCGAAAGGCTATGTACAATTAGCATCAACCCGAACAGTGGCAAGCCTTTGTGATGGTATAGTCGCATCGTCCAGTTGTCACGATTGACGGGCACGCACACCCTGTTCGGCAACTGTGCACATAAACTGTGCGCCTGTTCATTGTAATAAGTGGACGGTGCGCACTATATTACTGCGAAGGCTTGCCGCTATTTGGGTTTCATTTGATGCCGATAGTACCCGTCATCACAACAGGGTAACTTTCGTCTTTAACCAAAATGTCGTCACTACTCCCCTACTAAGCGGGTAATGAATTTAAGGCCTGGACATTTGCCTATACAGGGAGGTTATTTTTGTATGCTAACCTCATCACTTATGAATGTCTTCTTCTACACTTTTTTACTGCTGTGTAGATAGATCAGGATAAAGCTGTGTTGAAATTTTACCTTTAAGTGGCAACATGGGCAGAATTATCTGTTGAAACTGTATGAATGAAAGTGATCAAACAATTCTTGGAAATCCTAGTTCTTTTTCAAACATCACATTTTGGCAATTAAAAAACAATCTTCTGTGCTTAGACATTTTGGCAATTAAAAAACAATCTTCTGTGCTTAGATGTGTTTTAAAGAATCCTGAGTGGTGGAAATCAATCCAAAGTGCCGCGCTACTAAAACTGTGTCTTCAAACCAGTATGTGAGCTCAGCACACAAAGTACTAATGTGAAAGTTTTTCCCCCAATAAACGGGAATTGGACTATAAAGACATAGCAGTAATTTAAAGAACAGTTCTGGATAGTTATTCATTGCTTAGCTTCTAACAGGTGGTAGCACTTTAAATTTAGTCAGTGAAGCGTTGTGCACAGGTGAACAAAAGGAAGCTGATTTTCCAAAAAAGGAGTCTCTGAATCTGAATACTAATTGAATGTGCCGTAAAGACCTATGCTTTTCTTCTTGTATTACATGTGAAGCGTCAGATTGTTCGAGCCATGAAACCTTTACAGCGGTATTGATCACTATATCTTATGATAAAGAACGAGGTAATGGAAGATATCGTGCTGATAGTTGCTTAATGTTGAGTTTGATGTTGAATGTTGATTCGTGCATTTTCTGACCGCTGTTTGCTTACAGTCAGGAGATATTAAGAAAGCAAAAAAAAAAAAAAAAAGACAAGCTGGGAATGGAATCGTCCATTTGTATTGCTATCTGGTGTGAATCGGGATAAGCACCTTTCCAAACATCTCCTCCAATGCCTGGTGTATCATATGTCTTGCACTGATTTGATGGCTCTAAATTTGAATGTATGCATGGTAAATGTAAGTGTGGTCTTTAGAGGAGCACCTTTAACGAGTTGGAGGGAGATTTAATTTTTAGATATTTCAGCGAACCCATTACCAATGAATTGGCTCAATAATGGAGTTGCAAGTCTAATAGTATCATGTTGTTCTTTTCTTCTCACGGTATGCCACCAGTGGCAAGAATTAAATGTGAACATGATGCTTTAGTAGTTCTCAATGTGTATCTCTGTTTCAGTGTTACGGAGTTGCCACTCTGTAATTGGAATGACCTTGGAATCATTTCATATTTTCGAGACCCTGGAGTGAAAAGGGAACAACACTTAGAGGAACAGAATGAGAACAGAATTAAGTGCCTTTTGCATGGAATGGAATGGGAACAGAATTAAATCTTTTTCTAAAAATAGACCACATTTCCCTCTACGCGATGTTTTTCAAACTTTAAGACATTAGTAATTTAGAGCCTCAAGTTTAACCGCAAAGCTGTATCTTTAAAATGGCTTGGCTCATTACAAGCACGGCACATTTATAAACAATGTATCTTCAACAATTTTGTCCTTATGTAGACTGTATCGCTGCAAAGTTTGTCTCTATTCTTCGCGTAACTGTGGCTCTAGGATGTTAGGTACCTGTCATGTGGAACTATGGCGGCAGCATACTTCCGCTCCTCCCCTCACCTTGTGACTTCTTTTCTTTTCTCTCGTGGCACCCCAGCCATCTGCCGTCTCCCCAGCCTTCACTTTATTGCTTTTGGTTCTGTCACCATCAGGGACTCGAATTCATGTTTGAAAAAGAGCTTCTCTAAGTTGTGATGTGTGTTGATGCTCGGCACGATGCTTGCAGTTCATTGCAAGCTTTTGGATACCAGCTTGTATGTCGCGTCACCTCCTACTGTGTGTTTACAGATTGTGATGTGTACAGATCCCTCCTGTAGAATACAGTGTGTAACATTGGTGCTTAGCAGTATGCTGAAGAATTCGATCTCAATACGCACCTTCAAGAGACTATCTTTTCTGTAACTTGATCACCTTCAAAGCGCAAAGCTTGAAAGGCGTGCACCAATATAGTGGTTACTCTGCAGAGTTTTGAGAAGGTAGGTACTGCCATGTTTGTTTGTTTTTTCTGGCAATAATTGGCTATAAATGACACATTTGCCCACTTCTATTCACAGGGAAGGGCTACCAAAGCAACCGGAGATTGTGCACTCCAAGTCATGCTACGACCTGCCCAACCGAGACATCGCACCACTTTCAAAACGCATTCTGGCAGCCTACACGGGCCCATCGGGTGGTCTCACACGTGTCAACCGGGGTCCGCTCCGTGCCCTCACGGTCACCGACCAGGTTGACTTTATCGACGATGATTCTCTCTGTGGCAGTAACGAGAATCTTGCCTCTAGGTAAGCCTAGAATTAAGGGCATGCAAAAAGTAAATGTAGAACTAAATTACACCAGGTTGCCCTTCTAGAAACCTTTCAGTGTGTTTTGGGACCAAGACACACCCGCAAGGAAAAGTGTGGAAAAGTTGTACAGATTATGTGCTTCTGAATGGGCAGACCAATGGTAACATGCATATGGTTTAGTCTGAAGCACAGTCCATGGGCAGTAATTTTGATCGTCTAGGTTTAATTGTGTCAGTTTGGCAAGGAGGATCAGTACAATTATGACATTTAATGGAGAATTGGTTACATGTTGTGTAGGAGGAATGATTATTTGAAATTGGCAAAGGGCCTGTGTTATTGGTAGAACTGTCAAAGGTATTCTTGCAGCTACAAGGACTAGAATCGTATCATCACTCTTTTCGAAACTGTTTTGTTATACCTAATCAATTCTATCTGAATTTACGAATGGGTGGGGAGTGTTCTTGTTGTTTAAGTAGCAGGATTTCATTCGTTTGCTTACATTACATTTGTAGCTTTGGAGGCAACCATTTCTCATGTTCACTGCACTCGCACTTCATGGAAAAGCGTTGATTTCACATTTACAGTATGTGTGCCTCTGAAAGACAATGACAGAGAAAACACCATATCACGTCCTCGCTCAGCAACTGTTTGTGCAAACTGTTGAGATTCGTCAGTCTAAGCAGAGTAGACACTCGGGTTATCGATTGCCGTATGCGTGCAGTGTCTGACTGTGGATGAAAGAGCAATGGAGACATTGTTTCTATGTGGGCCGGGTACTGTACGTCGCCAGTATGTTTAATACAATTTATTGGCGAACCGAAAACATAATCGTTGTCTGCATGAATAAATCTTTTCGCCTTCAAAAGAGGCAAAAAGAAGTTCAGTATAAGTTTTTTTGGGCTGACGAGACATGTCTCATTTGTGCAGGTACCTCGATAGGAGTGGGAGCACACCCAAGGCCAAGCCTTCCGCCAGCCTCTCGTCAAACAGCGAAGGCCCTCGAGTTGCAGACACAGGTAGGAGAACTCTAGATGCTCCTCAGCGTATTCGTTCATGCATTCGTTGCTCTGTACTTAACTTTCTTGGTGCGATTGAAGTGTAACGGCTGGTCTGAATGCACAGCTTGGGATTCTCCAACAAAACTACTCTTTATATCTTATCGCACTTCTCTCATTATCTTTGTCAGCTTATTTGTGTCGTCTAACACGTGTCACATGGTCACCTTTCATCGTGATTGAGCCTGATCAGGATCAAATTTTCACGATTGTGATTGGCTCCTTACGCTAGCTGCAGGAGGTATAGCCAATCAATGTTGAGAAACTTGATCCCGACGGGGCTGAATCTCGATCAGCAGCACCAATGTGTGACACAATTATAAAATAAATAAAGATTTACGTCACCTGCTGTGTGGAATAAAACTCCATTTCTGCCTTCATGACTGTGTATAGAATTACTAGCGACAGTACGTAGCCTATAATTCATTATGCTATATTTTCTCATCACCCATTTCAAGGTGCCTTCATTTTCCTTTTGCTGCTTCTTTTGTGCCTTTTATTTATTAAAATTAGGAAATTTTGCAGGACTTCTTATCTGGGGGAGCCATTTATGAAGTTACTAGCATCTTTAAGGTGTCACAATTTCTTGAATCTGAGGTTTTGGAAGGTAGCTTGAGTAATATTTTTAAGTTTGAATGACAAATGGTGGCAGAATACTTCAAAGAAAAGTTTGACAGCTAGAATGTTTTACTTATGCTGTTAAGCTCTTGTTTTTCCTGCTAGGCCTGACAGAAAAGAATGATGAATTATTGAGTAGTTGTTCGTAAGCAAGGGGTGGTAGTGCCAATGCTGACAGAGAGGCTAGTGTAATGTGCGTTTTTTTTTCGTCCTCAAGTTAGGCTGCATGAACTGTCGGCATATCCAGTTGAGATGTCGCTCTTGAGAGATTGATGTTAGCAGTTGGGGTGTTTAGTATGTGTTGCGACTGTACTGACAGCTTCTTTTGGGCGTGTCATTCCAGGGGTATTGGTTCTGTGCCTTTGTGATTCTGATCGCTATAGAAATAAAGATGTTACGTAACTAATCACCAGTTAACTTTTTATCCAACTTTCAGACACAAATATTTAACTTTTAGCGGAAGTTGTCATTGTAGTCGGCACACTAGAACCTCTTAAGGTGCTGATACAGGAAGCAGATTTTGGGCCGCATACAGAAACCACACAAACCTTTGATACACACCTATTATATATCATTCAACTTATTGCCTTGTTTTTCGGCAGGTTTAACGAGAGTTGTAATATAGTTAACAGGATTGTGAGAGATTTTGTGACAATGGTGTGCAGTGACGGGCCTCTTGTGAACCTTTTTAAAGACGGACTTTCGACAGAAAAATTTTGGTCTGCCTGCCTGTCTGTACATTTGTCTGTTTGTCCGCCCTTAACGATACCTCAAATGGTCGACCCCATCCGCAGCGACCACCAATATTGCTCAAGGATCAGCGTTCATACTTGCGCAATTGTCAATTAAAAGGTAAATATTGCGCATATCTGATGTACTATAACAACACGTTGATGTTTTGAATGTGTGCCTTCATACTAGAGAATGCACACACAAGTGATTCTAAGGCCCGTAGCGTTTATCACGCTGCGCTGACACAGGGCAATGTGATGCTCAAAAAGGCGTTACCAACGCTCTGCTAAGGCGACACGGTAGTGGCACCTGTCCGTTGCTTTGCGTTCTACACCTTATTGCTTCCGAGAATGGCACGCATCTTGCACGCCTTCTTTCGTTTTCAAAGATAACCGCGAGATGGCGCTCGTGCGTAATGTGCCTCTGATCCTAGCAGTACATCAGCAGGCCGAGATGGTATTCCAATTATGCTGATAAAGACATTAGGTCCGAAGTCTAAGCAGGCTTTGAGAGAGCCAGTGAGCAAAATAATAATCGATGGTGAAGTTCCCGATGGATGGAAACTTAGCAGGATGAGCATGATCTATAAAAGAAAGGGGGACAAAGCTGACATAAACAACTACCGTCCTATAACAGTGACATCAGTGGTCTACAGGCTGGCGATGCAGATTATAAAGGAAAGACTGCAGGCATGGATAGAGGATGAGGGGGTGCTGGGGGAACTGCAGAATGGGTTTCGGAAACACAGAAGGTTGGAAGACAATCTGTTCTCACTGACGCAGTGCATCGAAATAGCAGAAAAGGAACACAGGCCACTGTGGCTAGCATTTTTGGATATCAAGAGAGCGTACGATAGCGTGGTTCAAGAGAAATTGTGGGGAATACTGGACACACTACGCATGGAACATGTAGTCACTTATCTTTTAAAGGATATCTATAAAGGTAACAAGGTAGTTATAAAGTGGGAAAAATGGGTATCCAAGCCTGCAGAGGTAAAACGGGGGCTTAGGCAGGGGTGTCCCCTGTCACCCTTATTATTCATGATGTACCTACAAGGATTAGAGGCCAAATTAGAGGGAAGTGGGCTGGGCTTCACCCTCTCTTTAATCAAACAAGGAAAACTCATTGATCAGGCACTACCAACATTAATGTATGCAGTTGATATAGTGCTAATGGCCAACAACAAAGGAGATTTGCAGAGATTGATAGACATCTGCGGTAATGAGGGAGATAGGTTAGATTTTAGATTCAGTAAGGAAAAATCAGCAGTCATGATTTTCAATGACAACGAAGGTAGTGAGCTTAGAATACAGGAGATAACAGATAAATACAAATATCTGGGCATATGGATAAGCAATGGGACCGAGTACCTGAGGGAACACGAAATATACGTGACGACTAAAGGTAACAGGAATGCAGCAGTGATGAAAAATAGGGCACTGTAAAATTACAATAGGTATTATGTTGTGAGAGGAATATGGAAAGGGGTCATGGTTCCTGGGCTGACGTTCGGCAATGCGGTCTTGTGCATGAGATCAGAAGTTCAAGCAAGATTAGAAATTAAGCAACGTGGTATAGATAGGCTTGCTTTAGGAGCTCACGGGAATACACCAAATCAGGGAGTACAAAGTGATATGGGATGGACATCATTTGAGGGCAGGGAAGCTAGCAGCAAGATAAAATTTGAGGAGCGATTGAGAGAAATAGGGGAGGAGCGTTGGGTTAGGAAGGTTTTCAGCTACTTGTGCATGAAGAATGTCGATACAAAATGGAGGAAGCGAACGAGAAAATTGACTGGTAAATACTTAGAAAACAGCGGGTGGCTAAACCAAAAATAACTATCGGTTAAGAAGAGAGTGAAGGAAACGAAGACAAGACATGTGAAGAATGGGCATGATTAAGAAGTCCGCACTAGAGATCTGTCGAACTTTTAAGCAGGAAATTGCCAAGGAAAGGACCTGTGATAATGCTCGGGGTAGTTCTCTACTGTTTGAGGCCAGGATGGGAGTACTGCAAACCAAGACATATCGGGCCAAATACGAAGGGGTAGACACAGTATGCAGTGCGTGTGGAGAGGAAGAAGAAACTGCCGAACACTTGATAATGTTCTGTAAAGGGCTTCACCCTATAGTTCAGGATGATGGCGCAGAGTTTTTCAAAGCACTGGGTTTTAAAGACTGGGAGGGCAAAATACACTTTAAGCGGGTAGACTTAACTAGAATTGATTTGTGGGGTTTAACGTCCCAAAACCACCATATGATTATGAGAGACGCCGTAGTGGAGGGCTCCGAAAATTTCGACCACCTGGGGTTCTTTAACGTGCACCCAAATCTGAGCACACGGGCCTACAACATTTCCGCCTCCATCGGAAATGCAGCCGCCGCAGCCGGGATTCGAACCCGCGACCTGCGGGTCAGCAGCCGAGTACCTTAACCACTAGACCACCACGGCGGGGCGACTTAACTAGAAGGAGGTTATCTGATTGGTGGCTAAAGTCAAGGCACGAGTGAAAATTAAACCCTTCACTGCAAAATACGAATCCTCAACCTCACTATTTAAAGGAAAAAAAAAATAAATCTAATGATTAGTTCACTAAGTATTACGGCTAGGTGGCATTAGCCGCCGCCCGATCTAAAGGGTACAGCCACATTCATCCATCCATCTATCCATCGATGCGCTCGTTCGCCTCTGCTGCACCCTCGAGGCACTCGAGGGTGCAGCAGAGGCGAACGCCTCCAGAATACCATTCACCGATTTTCTTGCACAGAACATCAATTGAACGTTTTGTTCACTCTCTTCAGAGGCACGACTATCCTTTTCGACGAGATCTGCGGTGTAACATGTAGATCGGGGGCCAATTTTTTTCTTTGTTTTTGCTTTCTTACGCAGCTTGCGTAACCGGTGAAGAGGCTGAGACGGCCTCCGAGGAAATCGCCGGTATCTGCAATTGGAACCAGCCAGCGGAGTTTGCTTACGGAATCGCCACGACACTTTACGAGTGTCACCCCATCACCAAAGAAAATGCGGGTGTGTTGCATGTGCTAGTGCATTTTGGACATGGCTGTCTTGTTTTTCCTTTTATTATATATATATATATCTCTCTCTCTCTGTGTTGTGGTGTGTGTGTGTGTGTGTGTGTGTGTGTGTGTGTGTGTGTGTGTGTGTGTGTGTGTGTGTGTGTGTGTGTGTGTGTGTGTGTGTGTGTGTGTGTGTGTGTGTGTGTGTGTGTGTGTGTGTGTGTGTGTGTGTGTGTGTGTGTGTGGTGTGTGTGTGTGTGTGTGTGTGTGTGTGTGTGTGTGTGTGTGTGTGTGTGTGTGTGTGTGTGGTGTGTGTGTGTGTGTGTGTGTGTGTGTGTGGTGTGTGTGTGTGTGTGGTGTGTGTGTGTGTGTGTGTGGTGTGTGTGTGTGTGGTGTGTGTGTGTGTGTGTGTGTGTGTGTGTGGTGTGTGTGTGTGTGTGTTGTGTGTGGTGTGTGTGTGTGTGTGTGTGGTGTGTGTGTTTGTGGGTGTTTGGTGTGTGTGTGTGTGTGTGTGTGTGTGTGTGTCACGGGCAACCTTGAACAGTTTGTCGAACATTCTGCTTTGCCTTAGCACTTTTTATCCGTCGCAATAGGTGATAATTTGTTTATGCAGTTCTTGCTTGGCAGCCAAAATCAGTAGTCCTGCATTACTTTTCACTTGAGAAGTACCAGTTCTAGATGCTTCTTACTTGGAAAAATATTTCGTATATACAATGCGAAATTATCTTCTCCTAATCTAACATTTAGCCACTTGATAATGAAGATGTGCGTGAAAGTCAACATTGTTACAGCAAGAAAGGTTCAGCCACATTGATGACGAGGCAATGTTAAAACAGGAACGTATAGACAAAGTTTTATCATACCTTAAATAAGAAACATATTAAAAATGTAGTGATGATGTTGCATCAGTTTCTTTTGCCAGCTCGTTGTAAGTTCAAATTTTTTGGCCAGTGGTGCTTTCAAGTGTTCATCAGTAAACAACTGTCTATAATTTATCATAATATTTAATACCCCTGAGCAAAGGTACAAGTAATGAAAAAGAGAAAAAAAATAAATCCGGGTCAGTTGTGAAGTAGAATGTTGCTATTCTTTTTTTGCATAATGCACCTTCATATAGGTTTTGCCATTCAAAAATGAATTGTGTTGTTTTATGGTTTTTTTGTTTAGCCAAATGTTTTACCATTCTTTGCGAGCTTCTTTGTGCACTTACACCAAGGTTATGGCTAATTTTGATATTACGGAAGGGTAGTCTCCGTATGACGACAACGGACTACAGTTGATTGATTGATTGATTGATTTGTGGGGTTTAACGTCCCAAAACCACTATATGATTATGAGAGACGCCGTAGTGGAGGGCTCCGGAAATTTTGACCACCTGGGGTTCTTTAACGTGCGCCCAAATCTGAGCACACGGGCCTACAACATTTCCGCCTCCATCGGAAACGCAGCCGCCGCAGCCGGGAATCGAACCCGCAACCTGCGGGTCAGCAGCCGAGTACCTTAGCCACTAGACCACCGCGGCGGGGCAACGGACTACAGTCGACTCTCGTTGATTCAAACTCGAAGGGACCTCTGAGTTTTGTTTGAATTATTAAGGAGTTTGAATTTTCAGAAGTTCTCAGATATATTACTGGAGTGCGATGACAAAACACATTATGAGTAGGCATTTATTTTGTCATGTTTAAAATTTTTAAAGCGTTCTTAAACCCTAACTGCACGCAATGTACAGAAAGCAGAGGTGTAAAGTCCACAAGTTTATTGGCCATTTACTGCTGATCAGACCTCTTAAAGAAATCGTGAATTGCCGCCAACTGCTTCATTGCTATAAATATGTGCCTTCAGCACAATGCTCTCTATACCAGTTAAGAAGTGTCACGGTTTACCATGCGTGTGCTTCATTTCAAACATTTGTTTACTTGCAAAGCCTTTTCTCTTGAAGGCCTGAGGACACTTATTTTTTATTTTTAGACTGTTAGGATTATATAAGCACCCAAATTTTTATATAGTAGTGGGAAAGCAAGAAGTATTTTCTGGTATGGAACCACAATATGTATGAATTGACCGAATGTTGGGGTTTGAATTAAGAGGCTTTTAAACATATTGAAAGAATAGAGGGCCAATCAAAAACTTTCATTTTGTTTATTATAGTTAACCAAAAGTATGAATTATCAAAGTTTGAATTATCGAGAGTCTAATGTATGTTGTCTCTACATATTGGGGAAATCATCGGATTGACATTTAGACATGGTTGAACCACTCTGTTAAAGGGACACTAAAGAGAAACAATTACTTGGTATTGATTGACAAGCTGCACTCTGAGAACTTCAATTCCGTTTGTTTCACTTTCAAAAGTTTGTTATTAGCGGAGAAAATCGAGGTTAAAGTGTAATACCTAAGTTTTGCATTGAAATCTTTGCAAAGAACATGACGAATATGAAGATGTATTTTTTGTTTTTTTGTAACATTGGCCGAATGAAATATTCTGTAAGTTTCACTTGCTAGGTCTATTGCACCCACAGATGACAATGTACTTTATTTCTACGTATTAGAAGGTGCGTAGGACCTAGTAGACGCCGTCAAACCTGTGACGTTACGGTATTTTTTTTTGCTGGAATCTGGCGGTGGCGTCTCCACCCGCATTTTCATTTCACGCGTTTGGTTGCTTACCAAGCGTCATCTTGCTGCAAGAGTGGACGACTTCAGGATTGTGAACTTGTACTTAACTAATACGCGAAAAAATCGTTTTTCTCTTTAGTGTCCCCAGCCACTGCTCACTGCAACCGTTGGTGTCATTTATTTCTTCACAGGGGAGCCAATTGCAGATGCATTTGCAATCTGCGTTCGGGAGAACAGTGCCATCATGGCACTGGCCGATGGTGTCAACTGGGGAGACAAGTCCTGCCTGGCGGCACGCTGTGCAGTGCACGGCTGCATGGACTATCTCAATCGGGCACTGTATCGCGAGGGCGGCACCATTGAAACAACACAGGTTGGTGTATCAACACAGGCTCGGTGTGCTACCTCCTGGCTACGCCACTGCTTTTCACGCATTCTCAAGATTCCAGAATTGATGTTGCTCCCTTCGTTTCTGTTTCAGGAGGTGTTTGTCTGTCCTGCTGCGCTCGTTCCAAGCTGCGCACAGCTTGATTCTGCAGGAGCAAGGCATGCTAACGACACTGTGCGCTGCAGGTGGCTGTCCAGCTGCAGGGCTCGGACCAGTACGTCGTGTGCACATGCAACGTTGGTGATAGCCTCGCGTACGTCTATAGTCAACAGCATGGTGTCCGTGAAATCACTTTAGGTAAGTGTCTTCTGGTTTTCACTTCAGAAAAAAAAAAAATAAACCTTGGTTTGAAATGGTGGACTACACTGCAGAGCCACATTGATTGGATCAGTAATCGAATCAAATTATTTGGGGATTGGAAATTTTAAGAATAGGGCCAAAGAAAGTTCTAACATGCTGCTGTTTCACTTGAAAGTACTATTTATGCGTTAGTGACATGCCCCGCATATGAACCCTAGCCTCGGGGAAAGCCTCAGGATCTGCTCGCATTGGTGCGCATTTAGCAGCCGTTGGGAGAGCCCTTGACGGAGAGTGCGCGCCTGCAGCCGCATTCCGAGCCTTCTGCTCCGCCGCCTTGTCTTCGTCGCTGGTTGCGAGGCCCACAAGCGCAGTGACTGCTGGCGTAAAAGGAAGCTCAAGAGAGAATGAGCGCAAGAGCATGCGTCCCCAACGCGTCGGAGTGGAGCAAGCACTCAGCACCATCTAATGAGCAACTTGAGTACTAGTGGAGCGAGTGCCGCAGCTCCATTTAGTGAGCACTCTGAGTACTAGCGGGTGGCTAGGATGCGTCGCGGGACTGACCCACACCTTAAGGAGCTTCGCTTTTAAACTTGAAAGACAGGCGCTACTCTTAGGTGTCTGCCACTTGGTGCAGCCTCCCACATGACATGGTGGCTTGTGCTGACGAAAAGTGCACTATACGAAATGCCCTCGATGGCACCAAAGACTGCATGTCTGGAAGGAGGAGAGTGGGAAAGATGACTCGATTTTTAAGAACTCGTTTGCTGAAGAGGATGACGGTGGGGAAAGGTAACAGTTTTAAGTCAGTTTTTTTTGGAACATAAATATGCTTTTGTATTTTCATGCTACTTTTTAGGGCTTTAGCTTCTTTTTTTGCTGGTTGCCATGAAATGTCTCACGTTAAAATCTCAGTGGAATTAGAATTACACTTGTGTAAATACAGTGACATATTTAATTGAAAAGTACAACTTGCACTTTTTTACTTGTTCTTTAGTTCTTAACAAAAGCATTAAACAATGCAGTGGTAAACTGCGGTGCTCGGCTGCCGAAAGTCACGGGGTCGACCCCAGCCACAGCAGTCATGTTTAAATGAAAGTGAAGTGCTAGTCACCTAGACACAGGTGCACTTGAAAGAACCCCGAGCGGTCAAAATTTCTGGAGACCTCCACTACGGCGAGCCTCATAATGACGTCATGGTTTCTGCACGTAAAATCTCAGATTTAGTGTGCGAACAACATTGCCGGTCTCTTTCTCGCTGTTTGCAGGATCTCATGACATCCACTCGATGCGAGACATGCGCGACGCCCTAGGTGCGCTGGGTCCTGTTGACGGACAGAACCCCGAGCTCAACAACTTAACCGTGTCCATGACGGTAGTCCAGCCAGGTGACATTGTCTTTCTCACCTCGGACGGCATCTCGGACAACTTCGACCCCGTCGTCGGCAAGTTTGCCATTGCCAAGCGGATTCGTAAGGACGGCACCAACACGCAGCAGCCGCTTCCTCCTTTGCCTGAAGTCGAAGCACACCAGAGGCACGCACTGACCCTGCTGCGAATGCAGGTACGGATTTGGGCATTACGGCCATGAAGTTTGATGCTTAGTTTGAGCAGGCAAGTGCTGTCACGCAATAACATTTGTGCACCATTGTGAAAAAAAGGTTGCAATAAATTTCTATTGCTGTACAATAGGTGCACATCGTGAGAAATGCGCGTAAACATAGACTGAAGGCAAGAGAACTAAACAGAAGGCATTTGTGTGGTCTGGTTTTCGTCCTGGTGTCAATATCATCATAAGTAAAAAAAATTTTAAAATAGAATTCATTTCTTTGAGGGAGAATGGTGACAAGCAAAGCTTGAGGTGTGCATGTTTCTATTGCATTGCATGATGTTCCCTCCTTACTTTTTCCTTCCCCTCCCTGGTGGTATTTGCACATTCATCCATGTGGTTAGCAGCGCACTGCTTCAGTTGGGCAACCATGATGGCCATGCATTCATGTCCAGGCAGCAATAAAACCAGGCAACATGAAATGGCAAGCAACCTCATAAAAGATCGGGTTGCCATATCAAAAACGGCTGATCATATACCAGCCCATGATCTAGAGAGCATGAATCAAACAGTTCGTTGAATGATATATGAAGTGTAACGTCCCAAAACCACTATATGACAGTTCATACAAATACAGTAAAACCTGTGTAATGCGAATCGCATGGGGTCACCAAAAAGGCTATACTTACTGGCATGATCCTCCCACATTTTTGCAGAAAACTGATGAAAGGTTGGGGGTGCAAGGATTGCACGGGGAGAATTTTCATGATGAAGTACCGAGCAAAAAAAGAACGAAGTGGCAGCAAATCGGGATTCCGCGTGCCAGCGAATGACTAAAAGCTTTGAGACGTACTAATCAAGACTTTCCTTAATAACAAAAAAACTGCAGGTTCAACACAAGGCAAGATTTATTTGAGACATAAGAGCTGCAAGAAAATAGTAGAGCATAACGTACGCAAAGCTTGCGGGCATTGCGGGTGTAGCGTTAGTGTTCGTCACTTTGTGGGAGCCTGCAGAAGGTTAGCGTACTACGTCAACCTTGTGCTGATGGCTATCTAACACGGAATCATCTGCAGTTGCTTTCTGACGAAATGAAGTTTTACTATCCATCCCAGTTTTCGGCATACAGAAGGCCCAGCGGAACTTAGGGGCTTTCAGCTGCTCGTGTGGCTGTCGCTAGTGGTGAACACAAAAATTGAAGGGCTACCCATGGCCCTATTGCCATTGTTTAGGGCAGGATCAATCACTTTCAACTTGAAAGCAGTCGTGTAGCTTCCGTATCGCCCCATAGCGTAGCCACAGAATGGACACAGTGTACACTAACTTGCCACAATGTGCGCTTGCCACGTTGGCTTGGCGTGGCTTTGATTGGGGCTTTGTGGATTGATAGTGCTGATGATGCTTTAGAGATGGCATTCAGGCTGTTGTGCACTACCATCATCAGTGGTTAGAAGGAGCAGACCACATTACTACTGCAATTTTTGAAGGTGTGGTGATTACTCGAAAAAAAAAAAAAAAATCGTATTTTTGCTGGGCAATTGTGGGGGGTGCGAGAATTATGCGAGTGCGAGGATTATGCGCGTAGATACGATAGTCGTGTCTTCCGAAATCTATCGCAAAAAAAAAAGAATGCGGAAAATTAGTTGGTGACAAAAAAGTGGGTCACTCATTGATTTATTGCGTTTAGCTCTGCTGCAATGTTATGAACAGCTCAGAGTCATTGCCAGTAAAGTTTTTAGACATCAGAGATCATACTTATTCTTGTAGATAATGGACACAATGTACACTAACTTGCTACAACGCGCACTTGCCACTTTGGCTTGGCGTGGATTGGATTGGGGCTCCGTGTGTAGAGATGGCATCAGGCTGTTGTGCACTATGATCATCAATGGTTAGAAGGAGCAGACGACATTATTACTGCAATTTTCGGAGGTGCGATGATTACTCGTGGGGGGGGGGGGGGGGATCGTATTTTTGCTGGGCAATGTGGGGTGGTGCGAGAATTGTGCCAGTGTGAGGATTTTGTGAATAAATATCATAGCCCTGCCTTTCAAAATCTGTATGAACGAAAAAAAAAAACACCAAAAATTGGTTGGTTACATAAGAGAGCTGGCGCACCAATTGATTTATTGCATTTTAGCTTTGCAGCAATGCCATGAACAGCTCAGAATGATTGCCAGTTTTTAGACATCAAAGATCATACTTGTTCTTTCACATATACAGTGCACTTGTGTAAATAATGAACCAGGTTTGTTGTGACCTGTGACAGCCAGTATTTTTGTGACAGCTAGTATCGTCTTCCAGATCTCAGTATCCTCTTCTAGATCTCAGTGTACTTTTTTTTTTCATGACAACAGAGTACTACAGCGAAAGTGACTCAAAGAGCACTTTGTATGCTATAAATGAAGTCCACAAAATTTAGAGCCACTGCCCTTTGTTGTTGCTATTTTATGATCGCGGTGGCGTTTGCGCTGTTGTTCGAGAGATTCAAGGCAGCGCCTGGCGCAACCGGAAGGTTTTCTCCCGAGCTAATGACAGAGTTGGCAGGCTTCCGTGTCCCCAACAATCGTGCTTGTTGAGGTTGTGAGGCCTAGTAGCTCCGTGGACAAAACCGTCCACACCTGTTACATCACGCTGAAAAGACAAAAAATAAACACAATGCCAGTGCCATCTGTAATCTAAATGCAAAGGCTCATGATAGTATAATTAAGGCTTTCAAGATTCGCGCATACAATCTCGGGAGGCTGCGACGCGACACGGCCTGCTTGTTTACCTACGTGTGATAGCTGCGTCTTTTGCGACAGCGCATGCAGCACCTGTTCATACCTGCCTACATTCGTATCAAACCTTTGCGGGCAGAAAATTGGTTTGCAACTACAATAATTTATGACATTACAGGTTAATTGGCCATTGGCGGGACCACAGGAAAGTTTGTACTACCCCTAAATCAGTACTAACCATAATCTTATCACCGAGGTACCGCTGCAGTGACGAACTGCATCGCAAAAAAAGCTAGCTTTAGAATTATGAAAAGGGTTTTAAGCACTAAGCTACTGGTTGTGGCTTCATACATATATGGCAATATATATAGTAGTGAATGTAACGGTGTCTTTCTGGCTCCTGACGTCTGCAGGACCTTCTCCAACAAGGCCTCTACCAAGGAGACGGAGCATGCAGCTCCGCCGAAGACCTCTGTGAGCGAATGGTAGACTTTGCCACCAAGTTGACGGCAGCCAAGCGACGCATTCTGGAGGATCCCGAGCTCTATGCAGCCGGCGCCGTGCCGGGCGAAGACGCTCGAAGGCGGCGCCACCGTGCCGGACCCCGGCTTACCATGGTGCCTGGAAAGCTAGACCACGCCTCGCTTGTTGCCTACCAGGTCGGGACAGGCAGCCGCTCTAATGCTCACTGCCATCACCAGCGAGGCGGCAGAGATGTGTACGACGGTCAGCAAGACCGTGCAAACAGAAACATCCCGTCCACTCCCGGGGATACGGAGGACGACTATCCCGACAACCTCCCTTACGAGACGACTATCTGAGCTGTGGTCTGTTACGAGGGCGATACGTGAGCGCCGGCTGTGAGAGATGGCCCTCTACATCCGTACATATTTGGCCGGACATTGTGAATTTGCTTGTGCTCCCTTATTCCAACGTTTGCTGGGATTTCGTGATCTGGAATTACTCATTCATATCGAGGAGGGTGGTGATAGGATGCAGACAACCCTCCACTAAAGACGGTCTCAGTTGTCAAACAGTAGACGTGTTGTGCCGGATGTTGTCATGAAATGGCGGCCCTTTTTTCATTGATGTTAGACCGGCGTATTGCTCTTACTGTGCAAAGCATAGCGGGCATTGTCTGGCATCGATAACCTCCGTTTCTTTAAGAACTTGACCAGGAGGATCGTGCGAGCCAATAAGGTTTTCTTCACTTCTACAAAGCCAGTAGTGACTATCCAGACAGTTTTTTTTTTTTTGTAAAAGACAGCCATCTGATCTTTCTTCTGTGTGTGGCTCATGACAGTAGCTGACCTCAAGCCATCACCTTTCACTCCTCTGACATAAGTGGGCTAAACATTAGTCACAAGTTCACACGGGGCTTTTATTTCTAACTTCCCGTCCTGTCACCATCCAGCACACTTGCTGTTTTTGTCGTCTTGAGTAGCACCAAAAATGCAGTCGCTTGGGCTTCGAAATTCATTTTTGATCGCCAGGGTGCTCTAGCATTGAGACAGTATGTACAATATACTAGCATCTTATTACTCTTTGAGTAGATGTGCTCCTATCTCGGTGTTAGTTATTCATTACAGGACATCTCTAACAAGTAGTACACTGCAGAAGGAACAGTTGAGATCTTTCGACAATCTAGATAAAGACTGTAGCTGCTTCGAGAGTAGTTGTGAATGTTTCCACTCTTTTCTGGTACACTGGCATGTATCTCGCATCTTAGTATATTTCGCAAGGAGGAACCGAGGTTACTGTGCTTTTTGAATTCACTGAGGTTGTTGTCTGCATTTTCAGGATTTCTGTAGTCTCTTGAATATTAGCTAGCCAAATGTGTTAGTTTGCTCAGCTTGTAGACGGAGCACATTGTTAGCTCATTGATAATATTCAACCAACGCTCAAAGGTCTCCGCAAGACTTGTGCTTTTCGATGCCATCACGCAGCTTTCATTAAGGCATTTGTGCTATGCAAAAAAGGTCATTTTGTATGCTCTAAGTTGTGCATCCTTATTTTGTGTGTTTGTGAAAGCCGGCATGCTTACATCACAACTATTCATGTAACGCCTCAAAGTTCATGAGTTGGAAGAATTATTTTGATGAGGATGTGTAATTGTACCTGCAGTGACTCGTAGACTGCTTTGTGTTATAGAACCAGTAAACATTCTCGTACTTTTTTTTTAGCATCTATCAAACAAGCTCAGCAACTCATATGGACATTGGTGGCGATAACATTTTATGAGTAACACAGGTGCAGTGCCCCTCGCAGACATCTTATTTTGAAAAACAATTCAGGTGCACCTTCTCCAGAACCTGTCCAATCCTCATCTAATGCAAAGTGACGTAAACTTGCCCGTCGGCAGCTTTTTGCAGCATCAACTTTGTCCTGTACTACGAAATGGCGCCTTCTCCCAGCAGTGATGTGGTTCAGGCCATGTATTTGCTGCATTTCTTCAGCGCGCCGCTCTGACACGAGCAACACAAAGTAAGCCTTGCTTGATCATTGAACGTGTGCCGATGCCGTAATCGATGACGTCATGTCATATTTTGCTGCCAAATTTGTCAGTCACGACAGAAGAATGCGCCTACCCCTCTTGGCTGCCAAGATAGATGGGAAGGCTGAGCAGGAAACCAAAACTAACTGAAGCTGGTTGTTCCATACCATGTAACTTCGTTATTACAGCACTTATCCTTGAAATTCTTGCATCGGCTTGTTCACATTGTACAGTTTCACAGATATCGCTTCATCACACATTTCGGACCACAGGTTGATTTGCTGGGTCTTTTAAGCTTATGTGGAGTACTTCCTTTCACTAAAGTACTAGTTGCTTTCACCTGTCTTCTTTAGTGGAGTGCATTGTAAAACTCCAGGCTTCTGAAACTCTGACAAAAAAAAAAAAAGGTGTGAATAGGCTTCATGTTCTTTCATGTTCGTAGTTAATTGTAGGCTTCTGAGACTATCTGCAGTGAAGTTTTGCAGTAACATAGAATGCCACTAATCGGTAACATATAACACCGCTAATCGTAATACAGTTTTCAGCTGATACGTTTTGTGCTAAAGAAACACTGCATTATTTGATGGCAGAAGGTACAAAAGGTTGAAGTGGCTCTTTCCAGCTGACTGCTTCGAATGTGCCATGGTCATGCGTGGGTGTGTGTTAGAGAAATGTGCCAACAGTTGTGCATGAGAGAGTGAGGATTCCCGCTGAAAGACGCACGTCCGCACCATTGAATATATGGCATCACCCATACACTGTTAAAAGTCTTGTGCAACCTTGTATTTGTTCACGAGTGTTTTGCAAGAATAGCTGCATGGCTCATTTCTGTTGTCTTCATAGATGAAAAAGTGCAAGTTGAAAATTGTGGATCGATAACGTGAAAGATATAAGGGGCTATTAGTAAGATAGCGTACGCCTACCCAACTGCTGGTTGGCTCTATTTTTGGGGAAGCATGCAGTGTAAACAGCTCACGCAATCGAGGTGTAAAACAATACGTCCAGTACTTCTGTGGCCTCATTTCAGAAGGTAGCCTGTCTTGACTTAAGCAGTGTTATGCCAGAAGATGATCCCACAATTCAGACTCTCATTGATGTAGTACATTGAACAGTGAGACCCGTCCACGTGTAACCAGGCAATGTCACAGTGAAAAAAATAGGTCGAAAGGACTTTGTACTGTGAGGTAACTTGTATCGTGCTTGACTGGCTTTTGCCACTGCTGTTTTAACTCACTGGGGCAGCTAGAACGATGAATGGTAGTTGCACTTTCCACTGGGGCTCTATCGCAGGTGCCGTTATTGACCATTAGCGCCAATGGTGTCCGTTGTAGAAGTGCTGCCACCAAAGGCAATAATTTTGCGACTCCATCTCGTGGTGTGTTCTCTGCACTGCGTAAAGAAGTAGACTCCATCGATGGGGACGCTTCATTGCTTTCTTGTGATGCGTGATCGACCAAGTGAAGTAACATCGCCATGGCCCATCTATTTGGTGGCAGCAGCGGGCATCGCAAAAGTTTGAAGGCGGGTAAGGCTCTATTTCTTGTTGCTATAGTAGTCAGCGCTTTATGGGAAGTCCGTTATGATTGAAATGCGAATGGAAATGGGTTAGCGGTGGACGCAGAAGGCACTTGTTCCTCGCGTTTTGACTACTGGTCAGATGCATCGAGGTAGACTTGTGTCCATCTGTCATTAAACTCTGAACTCCTCAGAAGCACTGGTTGCTGTAGCAATGCGAGATTGACCTTTGTGAAAGTTGTGTCATAGTTCCAATAGACAGGTACTGTCATCACCGGACCTTTGCTACAATATCTGGTCAATCGTGCATCGCAAGTCTTCTTACTCAAAGAATATGTACTTTGGTTTCAAGTTTTCTCCTGAGCACTCGTGACCTTGGCACCCACGCTATGCATGTTACCAGTACTGAATTGCTGCGATACTGGAGGTGCAAATGGGAATAGTTATGGGTGCAGTAACTTCTTATGGTGTTGCCATCCATTAAAAATTTAGGAATAGCGTGTGATGCTGCACAGCAGTGGCAAAATAAGTTGGGGAAAGCCAGGGGGTTCATGCAGTTTTCGCCGTTAGCATGACATAGTTCAATGTGCAGCTTTGGCTGAAAGAAGTGATGGTATGCAACTAGCACTGCATCTGATAATGCTGCTAACTGTAATATGTTTCTGTCGGTTTAAAAACTTGTGTAGTATGAACGTACTCTAATGAGATGTGTCTCCTTCGCAATGTTTCTTTCTCTGGGTACTATGTGGCATTTTCACTTGTCGCTTTACCTTGGCTTTTTTTTTTTTCTTTAGTGTGCGCATGTGTGTGGTCTGTCCATGACTGAACACGTTGCTGCATATGCAGCCTAATTAGACCTGATCGAGCACTGCTAGGTCTCGCTTTCATTCCCTTGCATCTTCGTGCACGAGCCACTGTGTTTCCTGAGGTGTCGCTGATCTTTAGTCTTCCTGCAGGCACGTCCATAGGGTGACAACTGCTTGCTCATGCGTGGGCATGTGTGCTTGCATGTATGTGTGGAAATTATTGTGTTTTTGTTTACATTATTTTAGCACCAGTTGCATAGCTTTGTACATACCTAGGCATATGTTTATGGATGAATGGTGTAATTTCACCTCGTGGTACTCTATATTTTTTTAGGCTGTCGTGTTCGACTTTGTCTTTTAAATGTAAACACTTTTATTGATGTCCTGCAATTCTTACTATTTGTTAATACTCTACACACTCGTTTCTATAAAAAACTATTTGTTTAAATGACCAACAAAAAGCTAACCTTTCTCTAACCTTATGGAAAAGGTAAGATAATGTTGTGAACTATTCCAGTCAGTCAGCATGTGTGTCTGATTTTTTTTAAATGCACTAGCAACCCTGTAGCTTGCTAGAAGGTGAGACTAAAGGGCTTTCTGTACATTTTGATTCACAGATGCAGTCTTTTGAGAGTAACTGACCTACTGCTAACATTTATAGATCCTTGTTCAGGGGCGGAAGCGCTGCGCCGATTGTGCCGCTCTGCGCTAATCTTACCTGCTGCGCCAGGCTGCGCATAAATGAGAGTTTTCATGATAAAATTAGATTCGAAGTGTGAAAAACACGAAATATAGCTGATTATTATCGTTGACCGAGCAACACTGAGCATTGGCTACAGTAAGGAAGCGGCCACATCTGTACCAAGTGAAGTTTGAACAGGTTGTGATTCGGTTAATTCGTGGGACTTTCGTTGCTTTTATCACCGGGGGTTCTCCGGAAAATCAGCGGCACCAACATGAGTAACTGTTAATTATCTAGTAATACAGTGCAACCTCGATTATTTGTACTAGCCGAGAACACGGCATGATCATGCGCTAAACGGTAGTACGCGTTTATTAGTGCAAATGTACATCTCCTGATGTACTCAATCACCACTAATAAACGAATACAGTACTACTGCAGATGTCCCCGAAAGTACCTACTACAAAATCCTTTTTTTTTTTTCTTTTTTGCCAGAGGGCGAAAAGATCACGCGGGACTGGCTCCCTCGCACGATTGTTTTATTGCGTGTAGTGGCGGCGCCAAGGAGCATTTCGAAACTATTATAGGGTCCGGGTTACACGGCTGCTAAAATAACGACAGAATGAACACTACCGCCGATCAGAAATACCTATGTGCGCTTTTTTATCGCGATGTGATACTCAGTGACAACTGCCCGTGTGCTCAGATTTGGGTGCACGTTAAAGAACCCCAGGTGGTCGAAATTTCCGGAGCCCTCCACTACGGTGTTGCTCATAATCATATAGTGGTTTTGGGACGTTAAACCCCATATATCAATCAATACTCAGTGACAACTGACAGTTTCGTTGGAACAATGAGCGGTCACGTGGACTCTGATCATCTCCTGGTTGGTTGCATGTAGCGCGCCGCCTATGCTGCCTACACAGTTGCTGTACCATGTGTGTGAATTTGCTGTGTGAATCGCTCGTATCCACTTCACTTCAGACTGAGCACAGATGAGCAGAGTATTGTGTTTAGTTAGCGTTGGGATAACAAACTTCCGCTAAGCGAAGTGTGCCGCGATTATCTGTACTCGGTTTCACATATCATGTGCAAGGCTGCAGGGGCTAGTGAGACTCCTTGTAGTAGTTACGTTCATGTAAAGAAATAGTTCCATGTTTTTACCACCCAAAATATATTCTTTTAATTTTAGGCGGAGTATGAAATGGACGTGTTTTGTATCACATACACACACACAAAGGGCTGCACGCACGCAGGTGGTAATTCTGGTAAGGTCATTAGTATTGAATGTTTAGTGAGAACCACCAAAATTTCTTTACCAGCAATAATTTTGATTGACGTTGATGGTTGACCCTAGAAATCTGCTCTAAAACTCCCCTTTTACTGCGCCAAAGCTGCTCCAAAACAGCATTAATCCTGTTCTCTAAGCTGCTCCAAAACGCTGAAGTCCACTTCCATCTCTGCTTGTTGCAATGCTTCATGCGATTTGGCTACTCTTATCGGTGATTTCACATGCAGATGTTCTGTGGTAGCAGTTCTGCTGGTCACTGTTCAGGGCCATGGAAAGAAGAAAAATGGACAAAACAGCCATAAAAAGCTGTCACATTATAATGGGCTTTGTACGGCTTCTGTGGCAGTCTGGCCAGCCATATAACACAACTCTGAAAGTGTGATGCGCAAAGACATGCAAATCAATTTCGAGCAGCACACAATTCTTGCGTGCACAATTTCCTTGAGTATGTAGAAGCCACTTTGGCACAAAGTTATTGTTCTCTTAGAAATAGAGTACATTTAAGGCTGTGTATTTGGCTGTTTTCTCAAAGCAGTTCTTGTTTTGGGAGTCTTTTCTGAAGTCAATTGTATAAATAGAGTCAAGGCAACAGGCTCTTGACCTGGTAAGACAACTCTTAGTAATTAGATTAGTTGTTGCACTTCTTATGCAGTGGCTAATTATAATGCCAGTGCAAGGTTTCGTCAGGTAGCATAGGCACTGTGATGTAACTATCTTTATAAAAACACCTGTATATTAGAGCAACATTTTGCTTAAACACCTCGAGAAATGCTTAAACACCTCAAGAAACACCTCAAGAAGAAATACTACTTCATGTTATCATTTGTTCCTTTTAAATTTCTGTGATGTCACTTCATGCAAATGGCAGTTCAAGCAAGGGTGTTGCAACAGTATGGTTTGCTTACTCTAAGGGGGGGGGGGGGGGAGGGGGAAACAGCCAAACAAAGAAAAAATGGGTTAGATGCTCACCCTAAAATCCCAATTTCTGAACCACTGTCTAAATGCTGTTTAAAAATTATGAATAATGGGAAGTCTACCAACAGTGTTTGCTGGTATGCATATCGTTACTGTATGCGCCTCCCTTTTATCAAGTTTTATCAAAGCCAACTGTGTTCAAACTTCATTATAACGAAGTTGTATCTTAGAAGAAAGTAAGTATGTTATATCCGAAAATTGGTTATATAGATTATTTCTAACACTAATAATTGCAAGATTATTTTTCATTTACTTTGGTATAACCAATATTTCGCTATATCCATGTTCGTTATACTGAGGTTTGACTGTAATAGAAAGGGTAGTTGCAGGAAATTCGCTGTGAGGTGCCCCTGCATAGCTTTACTCTGCGTTGCTGTTAGAGCTCATGGATGATAAAGGTGGGATGGCGGAAAATGCAAAGCAAGATTATTCCTTGAGGTAAACTTTGAATTCTTCCTGAGTAGGAAATTTAGTGTCATATGTTCTGGCTCTCTTGACATTGTGCCTGGGGCTTTTGTCGGGAGTATAATTTACACCTGATTCAGGTTATAAAAGCAAAGCTACTGCAATTTTTTTACTGTGACCTAGCTAGATGTATACATGCAGGTGCAGCTTGTATCGCATTCTGAACAAGCATCAGCACCGCTGAAAATAATAGTCGGTGTCAAACACTTCTTGGAAGCTGAATTTCAGCCACGTTCAGCCTACAGCAATTCCCAGAGTGACGTGTGCACTTTATTTACAGGTAGCAAATCTGAAATCAAGGTTGTGTGCCAAACTTCCAGATATGGGCTTTTTCATGGGCTACAAGTGTTTTAGTCATGCGCTGTTGTATCCATCAAGAGAACAGTTTGATGAAAGTGTCGACTCAAGCTGGGAGAAATGAACTTAAAAGTCTCGTAAACCTTCTCTTGTACAGCTACTACTTTGGGCAATTGTGTTCTTTTATTCTCACGATTGGTGTGTTATATTCATGCAACTTTTCTTGAGGTACTCTTCTTGCCTCTGTGCAAGGTTTTGCCAACAATGTGAAACACTGCCCCAGAGTTGATGACTCGTTGCATTTTTCGAGGTCACGACTGATGCATGTTGGAGCAGCGAGGCTGCGGCTCCTTGCTGTGTACACACTCGTGAATAAAATTGCATGCCACGGCCAACGCAAGGCAAAAGCAAACGGTAAAGACAGTAGTAGTACCACATTACTTAGCCGGCCATTGATTATGTTAGTGTTTGTCTTTGGGAGACTGACGTCTGAGGCTTTTTTTCAACCTGAGAAGTTTTCAATCAGTGTGTACAGTACCCGCGTGCAATCTCGGCTTTAGAACCCTCTAGCAGCACTCCGCTTCTGCTTTGTGTGGTTGTTTCAAGCATGAGTAATATCTTCAGTCCTCACTTTGGGTGCCTTGTAGGCCATTGCGCTGAATTTGTGTGAAATGCATTTTGTGTGCGTGTACCTTGTTGAGCCTTCTCGCGTGGTGCAATTTTGCACTGCGGCCTTTGGAACTGCTTCATATTTAGATGGAAACCTTAGTTGTTTGGTGTGAGCTAGCATATTTTTAGAATGACTGGAACCTTCAAAATGTTCATTTGCTCATTTTTGTTTGGAAATGGAAAGCATGCAGAACATGTATACTAAAACCATGAACTTTGGACTGTGAGCTCACCTTGTTTACTTTGTTAAAGGCGAATGAAAGCAAATTGGTAAATGTAATTGACAAATGGTTCTGTTTGAGTTCGTCGGTTGAGAGAAACAATTATTGGGACGGTCACCGTGTTACCATTGATCAGTCACATTAACATTCCCACTCATGTTCAAGCAGGTAGGCAATCAGTTCATTGCATCTGCCTGCCATAAATCTCGCTCAAAAATTCATTTTTCCATGAATATGGTGTTCCACGCCCAAGTTAGAAGCATAATTTTACCTGGTTAATTGCAATTTTACTCATTTTTTCCTGCCTCAAATACAAAGCATGTTTGTTGTGTAAGCGTTCTTCACAGATTTTTATTTTTCGTTTGCATTTTATGAGATATGATTTATTGGCACAGTTTGTAGTGCTTGCAGTTAGTTGTTGACAAAACGCATTGGTTTTGTTTTTTGTTTTTGTTTGGCGCTTGAAAGGGCTTGGGTTGCGCAACAGTTTTTATCCCGTCTGCTTAATGTCGAGCTTTTAGTGCTGCGCGTTTTTTTGTTGTCGATTCGGTGTTTACATGCACATTCCACGTTACTGACATGTACAACTGTATCATCCTTGTGATGCTCCTTTATTTCACTCGCGCCAGTGGAAAGGTGTACTTCATAAAGTAATATAGAGAAGCAACTATTGATCACGAGACTGTCTGGAAAGACTGCTTGTGCTATGCTTGTAGTACGCATTTTCCGAAAGCGTTTCTTGAGCTGTGATGTGTGTACCAGACTTGGAGGCAAAACGGCAGCAGAGGAACAATATATGCACCGAAATATTGTGTGTACAGTTTGTTGTGGCTTTTACCCCGTTGTGTGATAATCATGTACCACTTTTTCCCCGAGCTGTGGTGAAGTGGCTTATATTTCCGACTGTATGTTAATTTCCGGAGCTGAAATAAAAGCGATTGCGATGCCTTTTGGACATTGGTCTCTCCTCATAAAGGTGTCCTGAGCTACCTCCTATGCTTGGTGAAAAAAAAAAAAAACAGAAAAGGTAGTGAAAGCACGTCATTGAAAGCATCGAAAAGCGAAGCTCTGATCGTGTGAGTGTATGTAGTTGGCAGGCGAGACCACATGAGGTCGTTTATTCAACGGTAGATTTGAAGTGTGCGCATATTGTAATTGAGTAGGCAATGCGAGATTACATGACTGTCGGGCTCTAAATGGCGTTTTAGCGGATGCCTCTCATCGTGGGTTTTAGCCCGTGCAGCCAGAGCCCTACCAACTGTGCACTCCTACATGACTGATTAACATATTTGCTGAAATGTTACTGATTAACATGTTTAATGAAAATGGATATTGGTTTGCTTTGCCTTTGAATATTACAATTCATGTAATAAGTTAATGCAACTTATGAAAGTGGGAATTTTCTTGTATTTCATAGCAGAAGTTGTCATTTCGTTAAATTTTTTATGCGCTTCCCTCTAGTCACGTAACCTGTCTGACACCTTACATTGCGTTGGCAGAAGGCAGATTATATCAGATTTTCCTAAAAAATAGAGGGGACTGTGGTGCTGTAGTCGTTCAGCCACCATGGCAATCATGGGTAGTACACAAATTTGCCTAGTCTGTGCTTGCGGCTGTGAACGCATATGTGGCTTTGCTCATTGCTGTGTTTTGGTTTTTCTTTTTTATTGAAGAACGGACCATTGTAATTTTCGTGACCCGATTCCAAT